GTGATTTGTTGCATATGATTGATTGTTTTCATAATATCATTATAACAAAACATACGAACATGCGACTTCTCACTAATATCAGCTTTTCTTCGTCGAATCTATCGTCCCATAATCCCATAACCACTTTCGCTTGCCATTGTAACATTGGCCTAACCGTAGCCACATGAACACATCCAAAAAGATCACTCATATGTGTCGACTTTTGATAAAGTTATGAAATAATGAAAATGACATTTCCAATTATTTCTCTCGATTGATTGATGAGATCCTAAAAGAATCTCCCATCATTACTTTAACCAAAAAAAAAAAAATCTTCCATCATTATTCTTTTTTTGAGTTTGTGTCCCAAAAAGTGCGTTTAGCCATCGGAAAAAGTCGCATAGCTATTATTACCACAAAAAAGCCAAAGTGAATAATATTTGGTTCCATTTTTTCTAATCAACTTAAACTTTTTTTTCTTTCTTCAAGGAATCTTCTTCTCAAGTCCCCATGTGTGTATGAGAGCTACTTGATGGTTTTTTTCATCAAATTATACGAACTTTTTCTTATGAATTTTTACCATCTCCAAATTGTGAATCTCGTTTGCCATTAATTCTCAATAATGCTTGCATCTCTGTCACCTTTCTTGATTTTGTTTAGTCAAACATATGCACTTTATTAGGTTAACACATATAGTAACACTATTACAAACCACGAAGTCATAGTCTCGGTCCACTTTTCTTGATCTATGCCTATGAAATGACCTTCCTAAAAATTAATTGCAGTTTATAATGTATGATCTGATCAACACATTTCACACTCTCCACATGCAAAAAGTATCTCTACCAACTAACAAAGTTTCATATTCAGATAAATTTTGATGATATGTGACCAAAAGAAATTAAGAAAGATAAGTTTTGATGATATACATACGAAAGATATGTTACAAAGTCAGAAATTTGGTTAGATTGTGAAACACCTTGATACGATCCCAATCGCGAATCGGGACTTTGATCGGAGCTAACTCGTGAACGGTAGGTTTTACGGTAAGGTGTTTGC